AACACGTGAAGAAGAAACGGAGACGTGTAGTCGATAATCATTGGGCCCTTACGTTGAGCATTTTCTCTACTTTCAACAAAATGTTGTCACACGTGTTACGTGTACTCCGGTTACATCTCAAATCTTGTCGAGAAACGTCAATGTTTCAAGATAAGTCAAGGCAGGTGATGGCAATGAAGGAACAAGTTTGGGCCAGTTTCAGATCTGTTGAAGCGCAAATCTACCATTCCCCTTATTTGAAACCATGGGAGAAGGATTCTCATCGCCAAGATGCTGACCAGAGAATGAACGAAGAAATTAGGCGGGTTTCTTTGCCTGATGATGGGATTGGGTGAGAAATCTTCTGTTGCTCTACCCCTGATTTTTTTAGAGTAAAGGTCAACTGGTATTGGATCGGGTTTATTTTGGTCGGTCGGAAAGAAAATTTGCGGAGATACGTGTCAAAATGTATTCTGGCTTTATTTCAGATGGATATTTCTGTAAATTATTGGAATTCTTAACGGTTTGATTTATTCCTGATGTTGTTGAATGGATAATGAATTCTCTAGAATAAGTTGCTTAGCGATGAAAAAAAAGCCCAACAATTGTCACTCCTTGATTTTTTTCTGGGAATCTACTTCCGATTGCCGTAATTTTTGTGATGTGTTCCCCTCTGCATCGGGGAAATGGGGGGAACATACAGGATCTAGCTGGAGTTGAATTCTACCGGATTTTTCAGTCACGATTTTGTTGAAATACTAAGGATGGATTCGTATTCAAGTTAAATTAACCATTCAATTCCACTGTTCGTTTTACTCGTTTAATTTTTGATTGAAGAAAAAGATCACACCTATGTTTGATTCATTGTTTTCATTCTTACCAAAAACTTTGTCCGGAGAACAACGTCGATTGGATAAGCTGTGGGAGAAGTACTGGAGCGAATGCAAAGACTGGAGCCTGCTGTATCCCAACATGGAAGCTGGTTTGCTTCCTGTTGAACAATTTCATTCGAAGGATCGCGCTGCGATGCTTGCTGAAAATTTTGGCATTTTATATAAAGCTTCGCGGTGAATGTAATTATGTATTATTAAATGAAAGTGTAGCGGGGGAAGAGAAATCTGAATTCCGCGAAATGTAAATTTGATATTTCCGTCGCGGTGTTCACTCTTCGGTTGGTTGTTTTTTCACCATGTTCTGTTGATTTATTAATAAAATCAGAAAAATACGCTGTATATGACATTTACTTTGCCATTCCGTGCGTAATGTCTGAAAAAGTGGAGTCCTCACCGAAGTGCAGTTTTTCTTCGGGGCGGGTGACATCTGAGAGAAATTATTTTATTGTAAACTGTATTTCAGGCTTCTTCCGCTGTGATAATCGTGCTGTATGATAAACACTGTGTTATGCTGATGAACTGTTCACCTATGTGTAAAATGAAAAAGATTTACTGACGTCAGCTGGTTACAATAAAATTGAAACAATCGCTTTTGACTTGTGTCAAGGTATGTAGTAAGGCAAATTTTGACATTGATTTGGGGACAACGTACTTTTTAAGCTTGCCCACATTGTATCCCATTGGTTCATTTTTACTTCTGCATAGTGAGTGGGTGGGTAACAAAGGTGGGCGTCGTCAGATGACCCTGAGACGAATGTGTTGTGATGCATAGCATAGGATTACTGCTTCCTCGAAAAGACTCATTTCAGATTTATTGCCACCTTTGTCAAACATCTCAATTACCCCTTACGGTATACATTTCAGGAGAGACAGTGTTCTTGGCTCCCTTCGGCTGTTAACAACAGCGGGGGTTCTCTTCAGTGAAACTTTTTCACTGGCAGTTTAAGAGAGATACACAGTTCCATACATCATTCCGTTTAAAACTGTAACTAAACCCCTGTTGCATGAAAAATTCGAACGGGTGTAACATAGGGTAACCAAGTAAAAATGAAGACGTATCACTCACCCACCCATTGTTTCCTGGGCGTCGTCAGATGACCCTGAGACGAATGTGTTGTGATGCATAGATTACTGCTTCCTCGAAAAGACTCATTTCAGATTTATTGCCACCTTTTGTGCACAAATTCGGCGGGAAAGTCGGAAGAGGGTAGCGCGGTTCAGTCAAACATCTCAATTACCCCTTACGGTATACATTTCAGGAGAGACAGTGTTCTTGGCTCCCTTCGGCTGTTAACAACAGCGGGGGTTCTCTTCAGTGAAACTTTTTCACTGGCAGTTTAAGAGAGATTCGTTCACGGGAAATGTGCTGTCTCGCTTGTTCTTTTTGGTGAGGTCCGTTTTTCAACTCCGGGACGGCGTGTTTTGGTTTTTCTGGGCACGAAGGTTGGTAGGCGGCTCTGTAGGTGCTGATCCCCATCAGAAGTGTTCGCATCCCAGGATAAGGATTCGTAAGTGCCTCAATTCTGAAATGAGTCGCTTCATCATGCTTTTAGAAGCTATACTTCTTACTCGCGTATAGGGAAATTTAATACTGTACGTAAGTTTAAATCATATTGTATCTTATTTTTCATTTACGTTTAACACGGTAATATTTACCAATAAAGATTGGGATTGAGCTAGTTGCGTGTGACGATGACAACCCAAGGTAGGCTTCGCTTCCTTCCTTCGTCGTGTTGCCTGCTACTGTTCCAGGAAGTTTATTTGATCTTATCTCCGGGACGGTAATTTCACATTTTTCGGATTGCGTAAGTCTGAATTGCGAAGTAAATTATTGTGTTACACTTATATGGTAGTCGGTTGTGATTCAGTTGATACTTGAATCGTTACCTCAACTTAATGTAATGGTTATATCTGCTGCGGATTCCGAATTTCATGGAAACCGAACTTCAAAGCCCGCAGGTCATATTGAACAGGAGTTGAGTATGAAGATGAAGTGAGAGGACAAGTTTGGGAACAAATGAATACAACTTGACGGATTCTAGTTTTCCTTGATCTGAAGCGTGTATTTTCGTCACTTGTTTGTTCATGCTGATCTGCGACAATTTCCGATTCGGTTTCTCTGCGTTTTCTGCTTCTTTGAATTCAGGAAAATCGAAGGTGTGTCTGCATTATTAAGATATTCTTCGAATTGGATTCTCGTCCTCAGGCATCAAAACTTTACTTGGGAACCTGGAACATTTTCTTGAAATCCTTTTCGACTATAATTAAATCAGTACAAATATGGATACCCAAACTCCATGGGATGATGAAGTGTACTGAAATTTATTGAATTTGGAGTGAGGTAATGTCCGCGACCTTTTTCGTAACACAAAAAAAAAGGATAGCAAACGGATAGTATAGTCTGATAAAAAATGAAAATCACTCAAACCAACTATATGCGCAAATTTTATCGAGCAAATTTTACCCGTAATTTTTGCAAAAATTATCAACTTTCTGGAATACATACAGTATCCCCCAAGTGCAAGCTTTTATGGTTACTGATTATTCAAGGGACAGTTCTTCGTTTTCGCAAAGCATAAACTTTATTTTTTGCTGTTTCTGTGAACTCAGCAACAGTAGGAAAGTGGCTTTTATACTTGATCCGAAAACGGGAAAACGGCGAGACAATTGTCGATGATGGTAGTCATTCTGTCTTCTTCATTTTTACCTTCATTTTTAGGTTCCACTCTCGTGAAAATATGTGTTTTTGTGGTGCATCGGTGTGACGATGAGCTTGCCTTGAATGTTCTGTGGATTTCTTAATTTTCCGTGGCGAACTTGTGGATGTGAGGGTCAAGTGTTGTGTTTCGCTTTTACCAGGTGGGTACTGGATTTGATTAGGTGAGAACTGTTTTCCGGGATGTTTACCACGCGGCACTTCCTGGGTTTTATAGGTACTGTTCTGGGTGCTTGTTTCACATTGTAGGGTAATGGCCGTCGTGGGTGAGTTTTGTGAAGCGTCCGCCCAAGAAACATCTGTTCGACACATCAATAACCATAAAAGCTAGCAATTCTGACAAAACCGAGTTACTGAAATTGAGAATTTGGGCAGTTGGAAGTGGGGCAGTTAGTTTATGAGGAAAGTGCTGGAAATTGGAGAAGGACGGAGTCCTTTATCGCCTCGATTTTAGATTGCCTCTCTCCATTTCCGCCCCGGTTGTCACTTGAGGCTTTACCGGTTTTTGGGTTCGTATTGGACCTTTTAATGATTCCTTGCTGAGTTTATCTGCACTTCCTGTGCCATATCAGGAACGCCTGTCAGTTTCGTTATTTTTGCATGGTTTTTAAACTAATTTTCAGTTGTGTATCCTCACCATCTGATCCACGTGTTCCCCGAATTCATTTATGTTCACATTTCTTCCGACAGATCAGATTCTCTTAATGGTCCACTGATTTGTGCTGGTTAAAGTTCAGGAGGGAAGTTCGAAAGATTTTTTGAAGAATAGAAAGAAAGCAGAGAAATTACGAAATAATGGAGTCCTCCGCAAAAGTTAATCCAGACGGGAATCATTCTGGAAGCGTTGAAAAGAAGGGAGCGACTTCCATGGGTATGTATAAATGATCATTTTGAATAAATAATTCTGTTGGTGAACGTCAATCCTGTTTTTGTGCAGGGAAAGGGGCTACGGGAAATTCTTCTGGGATGAAAAAGGAGAAGAAATCTTATGGTAAGATCTGAATCCATTCCAGGTGTTGAATGTCGAGCATTGGTATTTGTAATTGATGTACAGGGTTTGAATCGTCGGAATATAAGCTTCTGTTCGATGAATACATCCGAATCAGACCAGATTTTAAAAGTTCAGTTGTGTGCTGTACATTTATTTTGAAAATTTCTCCAAGAGATGACTCACCTTCGGTGAGAAATGAAACGAAATCTTGTTGTGA